GTTCTAATAGCCCCTCTGAAACTTAGTTAACTTGGCAGAGCTAATTACATGAATGGTTGCATGTACCAGTTAGAAGAAACAGAAGGAGTGCTCGGCCTCTGATGATGTCAGGTTTTACTCAGGCAGCTGAGCATACTGACCAATTGGCAAAATGATGCCATGATCATTATTTGCATAACAATTAAATATTCACCAACATTTAACCAGTCAAGGCTACAAATAAGGAGCATTCTTCTTGGGAAGGGGGCTCCTTACCTTGCTGTTTCAGAACCATTATGAGGATGTATGGAGCACTAGCCATTTCAGAGCAATAAAAATAACATCATTTAAATGCAATATCAATGCCCTGCACCCAAAGAAATACCCGTGAAGGGCTGGGCGCAGTGGCTCATGCCTATAATCCCAGCACTCTGGGAGGCAGAGGCAGGTGGATCACCTGAGGTCAGGAGTTTGAGACCAGCCTGGACAACATGGCCAAACTTGTCTCTACTAAAAATATAAAAATTAGCTGGGCATGGTGGCAAATGCCTATAGTCCCAGCTACTTGGGAGGCTGAGGCAGGAGAACTGCTTGGACCTGGGAGGGGGAGGTTGCAGTGAGCTGAGATCGCACCACTGCATTCCAGCCTGAGCAAGAGAGCGAGACTCTGTCTCAAAAAATAAAAATAAAAATAAATAAACAAATACTCATGAAGTTTTTCTTTCTTCATCCTCATTTGCTCCTCCCAGAGAAGGAAAAGTGAATTACCAGCCTTAAGGGTAGGGGGAGGAAAAGGGCTGGGTGTGCTCAGCTCAACCCCATTCTCTAGCTCCTCTTGGGAGCAGCTGCTTCCAGAACACATATGTTCCTAGTTCCTCTACATTGGGCTCCTCCATGTCCTAAGACATACTCTTATGTCTTACTTGGTTAAGAATTTGGTGGGGGAAGACCCTCAAACACTAACAAATCATCATCACCACCACCAGGAAAATGTATTGAGCATTTAAGAGTAGGTACTGGGCAAAGTACATTATATGCATTATCATATTAAACCAAGAAAACCAAAACTTACTTGGAAATGTTCATCAACACACCCGAGGAAACACACCTAGAAGGTGGTGAAGGAGAATTAACACAGGTCTCCTGACTCCAACACTTGGCCATGTGCTCCTCTGCCTTCCAGAATAATCCTGGACAGACAGCCAATAACAGTTATCCTTGAAAAACCTATAGGTCTAAATCTTATCTCCTATAAATTGCCCAGAACTCTAAGGTTTCTACCAAGCACTTAGCAGATTAACAGCTCTGTTTAAAGAAAATAATTACCTTCCTTGCTGGCACACTGCTGGAAGAGGGGCCAGCCCTTTAGTGGGGAAGAATGCAAATCAGGTTCTTAAGACTGAACAGCAGAACTCAGCTCTCCCTCCTCCAGCTCTTACACCCAAAGCCTGTGGAAGCCTTTCCAGTTAACACCACAGAAGTCTGGTACTTCAGGCAGAGAGCTTGAACTGATTAGTATCCAACTCTTGCCAAAGGCTCATTTAAGACATCTGATAGCAGAAGGAGATGGCTTAATGTGCAGATTAACTAGCCATTCTGCTAAGTTCTCTGTTTTAGACATATACTAAATTGGATCAACACAAAGCATCATTTGTCCCCCATAGTAATTCAGCTTCTTGCAGAAACTCCTTCACACACTTAAGATTTATATCCATGGCTTTTATAGAGGGTGGATACAAGGAACATCCATTTAAACAATCATTTAGGGCCTTTTGTAGAAGAACAGTTGAAAGCACTGTCCATTATGTTTTCCAATGCCCCGAAATGAAAAAGCACATGATAAATTCAGTGCCAAGAGAAAGTTTGTCTCTCTGAAAGCGTTTATGTTTTCCTTCCTCAGAAGAGAACTGTATAATCACATCCCTTTTTTTTTTCGTCTCAACTCTTCAGAACTTCAGAGGCAAATTCAGTGCTCAAATATAATAACTAATTCATACCCACCACCTTGCAATATCTATTCTTTTACCCTTTTGATCTTGATTTTATTTTTATGTCTCCTGCTTTCAAATGTACTTCATTTTGCAAGCCAATTTACATCTTTTTTCTTTCCCTTTCAAAGTAGGACATAATTTCTAGGTAAAAGAGGTTTTTTTCTCATCCTCTAAAAAATTATCATGATCCTCTCAATAGCTGTAAGTGCTCTGGACTTGCCGGACCCATTCACCTCATCGCCCTGTCTTCCTGCTTAGCACAGTGGAACTCTAGAAGACCCCAATCAGCTTCAAACCCCTCACCTGGCTCAGTACACCAGCCCCAAGCAAATGAAGACAAGAACTATCCAAGACTATGCTCTGGAGTTTCAGGAATGAAGCTGAGTCTCAAGGCCAAAAATATTTTCACATTAAACATTTAATGCATATAAAGTCCTTAGTCCAGTGTCTGGCACACAGTAGATGCTCAATAAATGGTAATTATTCACTTTAATCTGTCAAATGGCAAAATTGAGTTTTGCATCTTACCTGTGTAGAGAGCCAGCTCTCTCGAGAACTTTTCTGTGACAACATTCTAGAGTTACACGACCTAAGATGACCTATATAAACAGAGTGCTTGGCAGGTTGTCTGTCTTTTTTGGCCCCTTCTCAGTTACCTTATATTGGTCCCAAGTTGTATGTGGTACGGTACCCACACCCGTATACATGCACGTTACATATCTAGAGACAACCATGGAACGTCAGGCCAGGCTCACTGGCTTCCGGACAGAGTCCAGCAGGTAAGTCTTTGAGAAGGGTCTGCTGCTGTGCTCATACTCTACCCGCTCCTGACAAGTGTCCAAGCAGCTGTAATGGTCTGAGTCATACAGGGCAGGAGGAGAAGATTTACAAGGAAGAAAAAAGAAGAAAGCAATCATTTTTCATAACGCTCACACTTTCATTAGGTTTACTCAGGGGCAAGTATCTCTGAATATGCTAGGAGTTGAACACCACTGCTTTCTCAGCAATTCTGGTTTTCCTATGCACATACTTTCACATAATCCATGTGTTGGTACTGGTTTATTTACCCATTCAGCTAATATTTATTGAGTGCTTATTACGTGCAAAGCACCAGGGAGGGCGCAGGCTCTGTAACTGTTAGCATCAGTCAGGGAAAGCACACTGATGACTTTCACAGTGGTAGTGGCACTCCACAGGAAAACAAATGACAGGATCCTTAGGATAATAACTGAGGCTTTTCCACAATTTAGTCTCTATTTCTTTACACTCTCAGGAGAACACATCTACCAACAAATCCCTTCCAGTTAAAGGAGCCGTTCCTCCCAGAGCTCCCCTCCTGTTGTCTGACAGTCCCTGCATCTCCCCCCGGGTATGCCGGGATCAATGTACAAGTACTTCAAAGAAGCCCTCAAATTGGAGTGCAAGCAGCACTTTCAATAAAAAAAATAAAAAAATAAAAAAAAATAAAAAAAAAAAGTCCTCGAGCTGGGGATTCAGAAGTTGAAGGGGGAGCGGTACGGAGAGCCAGTGCTGGGATTTGACAGCACCACACAATACACCAAGGATCAGAGCTGTGAGACAAATTCAGCTCCAGAGATGAAAAATCTTCTTTTGGTGCTGACAACATCTGTTTTATTTTGAAGGTTGCTAAGGAGAGTTCTAGCTGGGCCAGCATTGTTCCAGTTCAGTACTTCATAGTGACTCTCCTGCACGAGGTTCAGACAGCAGGAATAAAAGCTCGCCGGATAAACCCCGCTTCTTTTACTTTGCAGATATCAAAGGATCACTTTGCTAACAGGGCTGATGAACACCCTGCCTCGTCTCCATCGGAACTGGATTGTCCCTTCTGCTTACTCTCATTGCTCTTCTTCTCCCTGCCCCCTCTGTCTCCACCAGCCAACTCCCCATCTTTGCCAAATAAAGCCTTCTTAAGAAAAAGAAGACAGTGAATATGCCACTAACCCCAGAGAAGACTTCCATTCAGAGCTAAGGAAGACATAAGTTTATGAGTTGGAGGTCACAGCAGAAGAATCAGACAAAGGAGGAAGTGATTTCCTGGCCTTTAAAGATCTGTTTTGCCTGCTAATAATCAGAGCAATGCCAAATGCCTTCATCAGGGCTCAGGCATTCATGGACGGTAGAGAGGCCAAAACAGAGAAGAATCTGACTGCTAGGCCTGTCCCATCTCTGTAATAATGGGGGTGGGGAGCAAAGCTTTCCACACCCAGCTTGACTCTATCCCTCCTGTGATTACTTGCAATGAAAAGACATCACAAAAATTAGGAAAAGTTAGTGTCAGTTTTGTCCAGAGGGCAAACATTTCGGGAAACAAGAAATAGGGGAAGAGGAGCTTAGTATAAAACGAGAGGACATGTCCAAGATCTTCACATATATGGCAGGTTGTTATAAAATGGGTGGCAACATTTGAGAGCCACTCTGCTCTTCCACTGGGGAAATCACATCTGGGGTGAGAGCATCCACAAAACAAGCGTACAGAAGCAGGCAGGCCCTTGACTTGTAACTGGTATATGCAAACATATTGTGGGATTCCAGGGTATGATGTGGAGAAAAAACACAAAAAACCCATTTTCCAATGACTGAAGGAATTCTCTTTCTGAACTGGGCTTTGGAAAAGTACCAGCTCCTGCCAGGGAGCACCTAGGAGTCTAAGAGAAACAAACGAAGAATGGCAGCGCTCTCCCTCCACCACAGATTCATTTCAAAGAGCCACTCAGCAGTGCCGTGACCCTGCAAATGTCGACAACAAAAGGAAACCATCTACTCTCAAATGAGGGTATTAAGACAACGGAGGCCACATTATCTAAACATTTCCCTTCCCAACCAGATTCTATTTCAGCCAGTTTTGCTTTCACCCCCAGTTTGGGATCTATCTGGAACAAAGTACGCGTGAACCAACAGAAATAATGTCAAAATAATGCAAAGCGCAGAGGCTCCGGAGATAACTCTTTCAGGTAACTCTGAGGAGGGGTTAAGCTGGAAAGGTTAAGAGTCATTCTCCAAACCACTCACCTAGCCAGGTCACACCCACAGCAGCTGGGGAAGACACGGCCTCTGCCACTTTGTGCCAGCTCCTGTTGTGTCCGGGTGCCCACAGGGACACGTGGCAGAAATAGTAGCCAGAGTTTTCTTTGCTAACATCCCGAACCAGTAAATGGTAGGAGCGTGCGTCCACATGACTCAACGCAACATGAGGTGAGCTGTGCACCAGGGAATCACGGTCAAGCCGCGCCAACACGCGGGAGCCAGGCAGGGTGCTGTCAGGAGTCCTGCTGAAGGACCACGTCACCTCAGGCCGAACGTCATCCACGCGGTCTGTTGTGATGTTGCAGGTCAGGTCCAGTTCCTTTCCTTCAGCCACAGACACGTTCTTGGGCACAGCTGCTCGCAGGACTTGAAAATTAAAAACAAATACATCTAGGTAATCCAATTATGTTTCCCCCTTCTATCCCCCACCTTCTTCAGAGCATCTCTTTTTAAGTTCTTCTTTACAGCATGAAAGTGAGAAGGTTTTGTACAGTTGTAAGTGCGTGAGAAATACTTCATGAATAAATCAACAAAACACACTACATTTCTTTTTATTTTATAAAAACAACAACAGCTGCAAACATTTATACACACCTGCTATATATGCCAGGCAGTGTTCTGAGTGTTTTAGATATAATAATCCTCAAAACAACCCTAAGAGGCAGGTACTATTATCCTTGTTTTACTGATGAGGAAACTGAAGCACAGAGAAGTAAAGTAACTTGCCCAAGGTCACACAGCTGGTAGGTGGCAGGGCTGGAATCCAAATCCAGACTATCTGCCTTTAGGAACTCCTCTTCACTGTTCTGCTTTCCCTTGTTAAGCAGTCTACAGAAGACTGCAAAACTAAAATTATACTTTCTCCATGTGCATGATAAAACTTAGGTGATTTTATAGAAGAGGGAGGCTTAATTCTGACTGGTACATATTGTTAGTTGGGGGCTAGGGAATAGGGCGGCAGAGTGAGGGTAAAACTGTCTTCAGGATAAAAGGGAACAGTCCTAAACAGAAGGGCCAGGAAAGTGAAACTAGGTAATTTTCCTTGAGTCAAGTCTTCAAAATGTAATGTACTGAGAGTGTTATTTATTTCTTAGACATATCCACCTAAAAGCCAATCATAAAACATATTAGAAAACTAAAATACAATAATTTTTGGACTATCTGCATTACTGTCCCTTCTCATTAATGTGGATAATTAAAAGTAGACTCTATTTAGATGAAGTACTGAAGTATTTGGTGTCACAAACTCAAGGCAGATCTAGTTCCAGCCTTCCCCTGTCTTCTGAATATTTTATTCAAAAGATTCTAAAAGAGCATCTGTAATCAGAATAGAAAAACATCAACTTGTGAAATGCCTGGGGAACGATTACTTAGATGACAAGTACCAGGCACCTCCCAGGGGATTCAAGCAAGTCGATGGCATCAACTGCATGGCTCTGGCCCCAGGAAGCTCAGGGACCCAATTCAGAAAAGACCCAACTCCAAAGTCCATGCCCTTCAGTGTAAATTACTTTCATATGAATATGTCCAAAGCCTGACAATACCTCAAACAAATATTTCAAGTCGAGTTCAAGATCCATCTAGACAGGAGACAGAAAATGAGGTGGGCACAGTACTACAAAAGGGAATTTAAAAGTCCAATTTCACCTTCCACCTCTTCTAATTCTTTCTCTCCCTCCCCTCTTTAAAAGAGCCAAAAGTAACCTGAGGGTATCATTTGAGAGGACTAAGTATGGAAACTGCCACCCTGGGCCAGGATCTGCAGTTTGAACCATTCTACAGTCAAAGCTTGTGGCCAGAAACCCTGGAATCCTGCTGGAGTCACCTCTGCCAGGACTTCAGCTACTGGAAGTAAAAGACGACTCAGGAGGGAGTCGGGTCAGTGAAGAAGTACTTAACAAGCAGCTGTGGGCTGTATGGATGGAGAAAACAGAGTCTCAGGTTCAGAAAATATTGGCAGGGATGTCTCTTCAGCTGTGTAGTTCACTTTGTAATTTTCTCTGTGCAAGTGCCTCAATATCTTGTCACATCACTAACCATAGGTCCTACACATTCCGGATGTGGGAGTTAACTGCTGGGAGACAGGATGGAGTAGGCTAAAGGGAAAAAAAGAACCAGTTCTAAGTGTTTGTAATGAAAGCAGGGACCTCAGACAAAGCCTGTGGTGGGGCAGGCTCTCTGCCCCTGAATATAACTAAATCCATAAATCAGACACAAAGTTTGCAGTAACCAGACCACTCCTATGACGGGGAGGAGAGGGTGAGGAGGAGGCTCACCGCCACATGGTTAGCACAGCTTCACTCTGTGCCATTTATCATAACAATTTGATAAGAATATATAAGCAGCCAGCTATGAATAGTGCAGGTGTGGACAAGATGAGAAGGACCATGACCCTAGTGTGGCCATTCTTAGCCTGGGACCACAAAGAGAATTTAGACAGTCTGTGAACTTGGATGGGAAGAAAAATTCCATCTTTATTTTTATTAATCTGTACCTGAAATATAGCATCTCTTCCCACTGTGAAAGTAAGCAACAAACCAGTATGCTATTACCTGTGTCTGAGACTACCCCAAATAGAAATCACAGATATTTTCCCATCACGTTGTTGCAGATATCCTGAAATATCAGGTATACTCATTACTATTCAGAAAGTACAGCAGTTGTTAAGGCTGCCACTATCTTATAATCAGTGCATTAATAAAGCAGCATAATATTACTACAAAACAAATTTGCTTTACAAGCATTTTGATAACTATTTCTATATAATTATTTTCCTTTGTCATCTTGTGGACTGTATTTTATGAATTAAAACATGTTAATTCTGAGAAAAGGTCTGTGGGTCTCAAAAGGCTGTTGAGAAGTCTCATGGCACAAAAAGATTAGGGACGCTGTTTCATCTGAGCCAGATATTACCTACCTAATAAGTTCAGAGTGTTCAAGTCTCTTAGATAGATATTATAGGTCTTGTGTCATGTTTGAAACAAAAAGAAAGTCTTTACGATGCAAATTCTTCCATAAAAGCGTAACTTTCTGCAAAGCTGAAACTCTTAACTCTTCTGCCTCATTAAAAGTTGTTTGATGCAAGTTTAATATCTAGAGGTTTCTTAGGGCAGATTCCAGAGAGATCACATCTGATCAGGAAGCTAACCTAAGTCCATCTAGGAAGTGATTTCTGCAGCCAGTGGAGCCCAGACTGACTGGTACTGAGCAGCTCCTCTCCTCAACGGCCACAGTTAGTCAAGAACCTCAGACCTGCTTTTCCACCACTCACTTTTCCAAATCCAGGTCCTGTGCTGTGGTGTAAGTGCAGACTAAAGCGTCAGGACAAGGCAGCTTCAGAGACAAATTACTCCCCCTGTGTATGGTTTCCTGTTTTCCTTCCCAACTGAGCAACAAAGCAGCCACATATTCACATTCATACTCAGGAAATGAGTCCAACCAAAGTCTTCCCAGTTTAAAACACAAAAGGCGGCTGGGTGCAGTGGCTCACGCCTGTAATTCTAGCACTTTGGAGGCTGAGGCGGGCAGATCACCTGAGGTCAGGAGTTCGAGACCAGCCTGATCAACATGGTGAAACCCTATCTCTCTCAAAAATACAAAAATTTGACAGATGTGGTGGCAGGCACCTGTAATCCCAACTGCTCGGGAGGCTGAGGTAGGAGAATCGCTTGAACCCAGGAGGCGGAGGTTGCGGAGAGCCGAGATTGCAACACTGCACTCCAGCCTGGGTGACAGAGCAAGACTCTGCATTAAAACAACAACAACAACAAAACAGAAGGAAGTAGCAACAGCTAACAAAGTACTCTGAGATCTGAAGCTTTAGACTCACAGAAAACCAAGGACACCCATTCATCCTGAGCAATGACATTACCCTGCCTTGGTCTCTTTACCCGGTCTCTGCTGAAGGTCTTTCCGCAGGGCCTGAGAATGAGTCTCAAACACAGACGGCCCAGAACAGAGCTGAGCACACAGTCGGTTCTCCATTGATGCTGGTTGGACAATGAGTGAACAATAGCATGTTTTCCTTTTATTTTTATGTGCTTTCTAAAATGCATTTTGTATTTTCTTAATTACTTCTGTAGTTGCAGTAGAGGGTCTAAAAAAAAAAAAAAGATGCCAGGACAAAGGGCGTCTTATATAGGCCCCAGCACTGAATGCTCCTGTGGTCTGTATCACACAGGTGATACAAGTAAGCAAGAAGTGGCCCTGCCCTAGAGAGCTCCTCCCCCTACCAGGAAAGGTACATCCGCGGGGACCAAAAGGCAGGCCTAGGGGATGCAAGTTAGATGGAAGGTTTTGGGATCAGCCAGACACACATCCCAACAGCTGCACAGAAAGGCAGGTCCAAGGACCTGGGAAACACCAAACCCAATAAAGCTTAGGGGGCAGAGTGTGAATACCTTCACCCCAAAGCCCCACTGAGCACCAAGCCCCACCTAATCTGGCTGAGGGAGTAGGGCACCTACACTCTGAGTGAAAGAACTGCCTTCGTGTTACGTGTAGGCCACGGCTTTCCATGGACATGAATTTAGATCAAAGCAGCTGTGTGCCAAAACGACAGGCATCCTCAGCACAAAACAAATGCACCCCGCCCCATCCTCTCACCACCACCCTACTCCCTTCACCCCTAATGGTAAGGCCTCACATGGGAAGCAGAAGCAGCTCCTGTCAGAAGGCCATGGAGCTCCCTGGCCCAGTTCTTTAGACCACTGTCATCAGTCACAGAACAGCAGCACCTGTAACGCAGCGTTTCCAGCTCACCTGTCGGCTGGATCACCACGGTGGCAACTTCCACGGCCTTTTCTTGGATTTCCTGCCAGCTGCCCTGCTCGGCGATCCACTCGCTGACGACACACCTGTAGGAGCCCTGGTCGGCCGACAGCGCCCGGGACACCGAGAGGCGGTAGGCGTCGCTGCCCACGGTGTCGAGGCGCACGCCCCCGCTGTGGTAGCGCTGCTCGTACCCCAGGCCCGGGTGGAATCTGCCCTCGTGGGTCAGGGCGAGGACGCTCCGCCGGGCGGGGCCGCGGTGCAGCTCCCACAGCAGCGCCAGGTGCGTGTGCAGCGGCGAGGCGGAGGCGGCAGTGCAGCGCAGCTCGAAGGGCTCCCCCTCCCGCAGGCTCAGGCTCGGCGGGGGCCGCGCGCTGGGGCCCACGTGCAGGGCATCGGCCAGCACTGCGGGGAGAGGAAGCTGGGTCAGCAGCCCGTCCACACCGCCCCCGCCCCCGCACGCGGTAAGGGCCCGTCAGTTCCAGGGCCTCCTGGCCACAGCCCTGACCATCGCTGCCACCACAGACCACTTCCTTCTCCCTCTCCCCTTCCAGGGCCCTGATGGACGTTTTCCCATTTGGATTCATCTGTAATCTGACTTTCTGACTTGAAAAAGCAAAATAAGACGTACCAATAAAACCCCATGCTAGAACTGAGCGGTGAAAACTCCCCGTGGGAGTCGTGCCTTGGGGAAGGGATGTGCTTCTGTCACCCCTAAGGCAAGTTACTTTACCCCTCTGTGCCTCAGTTTCCTAAAAGGGGGATGACAACTGGACCTTCATCATAGAGATGACATGAGAATTAAACAAGTTAAACACGGCCAGTTCCCAGGACAGTGTCTGGCACTTAGCAGTCATGATAAATCACTGGGTATGACTGTCAAACATTCCTTCGGTTAGGACCGGGACTAGGGTAGGGAGCCCTCAGAGTTTGCAGATAAGATGACCTTCTAGATTTAAAGTGGCAAGATCCACAGGGAAGAGAGGGTGGCATGGGTTGCCTGTGGCTTGCAGCCTGGGGAATGCCCACGAATGACTAGGGTGACCACGGCATATCCACATGGTAGGAACCGGCTCAGGCACTTCTACAGAGCCTAGAAAAAGGGAGCAGCGATCAAGGAAGTATTGGAGGTGCTATTCAGGTAAAAAGCAGTAAGTGGTAGATGCCGCTACTCTTGTAACCAGAAACGGGGCCACTACCAAGGAGCAGGGAAAAATCTATCAGGCTTGTCGATGAGCTGGCTACGAGAACCCTCCAACACCACTGTTCATCATCTCTTTGGTTTTTCCCCCAATTCCACACTCAGAAACTAATTCAGTGTGCTTGAGAAGGGGCTATCCCAGATAACATTTAAAAACTGCTACATTTTTAGGAGGCCACATCCCAAAGACCCATGTCTACTGCAAAATAAACATAATGACCTTCTAGTCTGTGAGTCTGGCTAATATGACTCAGTTCTCAAGGCCAGCTCATCTCTGGGGGCAGGCACAGCTGAATAGCTTCAAGACCCATGAAGCTGAAGGCCAGGCAGACCCTGGACCACACATGGTAACCATCAAAGCTCCACCTGGCAGCAGTCTCTTGTGGTCATCCATTGCTTTCCTCACCCAAGAAAGGCCTCCTCTTGTGTCTCCTGCCATCCAAAGACAGAAGAGGCTGAAAGACACTGGAGGAAGCGGGGCTGGGGTGGCGAAATTCTCCTGTTGCCCTTCCTCCCACTCAAGAGGAGACTCCCAGGGAATACAAGGTGTGTCTGATTTAATGAAAAGGTGGCGTGTGGCATTATTTATTATTATTATTATTAGAGACAGAGTCTCACTCTTTCACCAGGCTGGTGCAGTAGCACGATCTCAGCTCACTGCAACCTCTGCCTTCTAAGTTCAAGCAATTCTTCTGCCTCAGCATCCCAAGTAGCTGGGACTACAGGTGCGCACCACTATGCCCAGCTAATTTTTGCATTTTTAGTAGAGATGGAGTTTTACCATGTTGGCCAGGATAGTCTCGATCTCTTGACCTCATGATCCACCTTCCTTGGCCTCCCAAAGTGCTGGGATTACAGGCGTGAGCCACCACGCCTGGCTGGCATGTGGCATTACTTAGCTCCAATGCAAGAAAGTCTTTTTCTAAAAAACATATTTGGCACTTTTCTATAGGAATAAAGAAGGGGTAGACTGGGTGTTTCATTACCTCCTTAATGGACATGGCAGTTTTATCCCAGGATGAGTCTAGTGAGGGAACAGTGTCTGAGCTATGATAGGGTTCTACAAGTCATGAGGGAATGAATGCCTCAATCAACCCTCTCTTTTTATATCATCATGTGCATTTTCTACTTTCTGATAATTACATACATTCTGACCCAGACATAAATCCACTTGGGAACAAGGCAGGGTACAAATAAATGCATAATTAAGTACCAATAACAACAATTATAATGTTTCTATTTTCTTAGCCCCAAATTAAAATGGTTTGTTCTTGCTCGTTTACTAATTAGCTGTGTGATTTTAGGCAAGTAATTAACCTATGCTCTTCCATTTCCTCATGTATAAATGAGGGAAATATTCTGCCCTATTTTGACTGGGTTCAGAGAATCGAATGTGTGAGTAAATTTAAAAGGACTTGGAAAATGAAACAAATAAAGAAAACTTCTAAAACAAATCCTAAAACATTCCAGGTGCGTAAGGTGTAATTATTTGCACAGCTAGGTCAATAAGCTAGCAGAGACCACCTGTTTCTTCTCTACATGTAACACATGCAACTTCCGGTACAAACAAGTACTTAAATCATGAAAGTGACAAAGTAAACTTTGAAGTGTCTGTTAGTCCTATAAAGCTGGGCATCCTCAACATGATCACCTCCTTCCTGTCACTAACCAATGAATGCTTATGATGGCACTGCTCTAAGGCTTTACACATGGTAACTTACCTGTCCTCACATCCTTTTTTTTTTTTTTTTTTTTTTTTTGAGATGGAGTCTTGCTCTGTCGCCCAGGCTGGAGTGCAGTGGCGCAATCTGGGCTCACTGCAGCCTCTGCCTCCTAGGTTCCAGTGATTCTTCTGCCTCAGCCTCCTGGATAGCTGGGATTACAGGCGCATGCCGTCACACCCAACTTATTTTTGTATTCTTAGTAGAGACAGGCTTTTGCCATGTTGGCCAGGCTGGTCTTAAAAGTCTGACCTCAGGTGATCCACCCGCCTCAGCCTCCCAAAGTGCTGGGATTACAGGCGTAAGCCACCATGCCTGTCCTTACAACCCTTGAGGTTACAGAGGAGGAAGCTGAGGCATGGATCATGCCCACAGCCATGCAGCTGACAAGTAGTAGAGCCAGCAGCTGGACTATAAACAAGCACAGGCAACCTGGCTGCAGAGCCAGCTCTCCACCACTGCATCATGCTGCCTCCAGCTCGCTGGGCAGAGGATGGCTCAGAACCACACTGGAGTGGAAAAGGGCCTTCTCAGGTCATCTGGCCCATCCCCTGCCTTCAATCAGTTAAGACACGACTATTCCACTGGACAGAGGAGGGAGCAATTAAGAGAAATTAAGTCTCTTGACACAAAAGTCACCCACAGCCCAGTGGCAGAGAAAGGTCTGGCCCCCCGCATAATAAGCCCATGTGAGGACTGTACCTTTAACCTGCACTGTGTCCTCATAGTTGCCCTGGACAGTGGCATCTGTGCTGGGGGTGGAACATTTGTAGTGGCCTTGGTCTGAAGGCTGGACGTTCTTGATGTGGAGCTCCACGGCGTCATTGGCAGTCCGCCTTAACAGGATCTCGCCCCTCTGCAGCCGCTCCTGGTACAGCTGGGTTGGGAACCCCGCCTCCCAGGTGCTTGCAAGCTCCTCAAAGTCGCTCCCCAAAGATGAGAAGCTCCAGTCAAAGTTCTGCTCGCTGGGACCATCATAGTCACTGACGTTGCAGGGGATGACCAGCTCAGTGCCCACCACTCGAACCAGGGTCCCTCTGGGGACTCTCACCACACGCCCTTGACAAAGACCTGCAATGATAAGAGACGAAAGGCAGTTCTTTAATCACAGGAAGTCTTCCCAGTACAAATGTGGCAAACCTGTGGATGCTCCTGCTCACAGGGATGGCAGAAATGTGACAGCCAAACCGCTAGGGAAAATGTGTCTATGCAGAAGGTTAAGCCTGTCCCTTTAATAATAAGCCTGGAATACAACCTTAAAATGAGCACCTCTCACACAACCAGTTTCCCAGGACTGACAGGGAGGAAGATAAGCATTAAAAGCAGGCTAACCATAAACCTGAATAGCTTCTTCCCTCCCGTTACTATGTAACACACCCTAATCACTCAATGTGATACAAAAATATTTTAGGTTTTGTGTAAAGAAAAAAAAAGGCAGAGCTAGTCAAGTATTTACATTTCTGCCCACCCTATATCAACCCTCATCCCTAGAGACCATTTCCTGGGGCTCCTGAGACCTGATTTACAATGACGGACACCAATTTTAAAATCCTAGAGCAGCCTGCTGATAAAATGATTTAACTCCTGTTATCTGACATTGCCTACAAATTAATTTTAAAATATGATGATTTTACCAAGTATTAATTTTCTATTTTCTGGCTGATTTCCTTCTCTACTCTTTGTTCTGCTCTAAATTCAGAATGAGGATGGGGAAGCACAAAGGGAGATGCAGGCGGTTGCCGGGCGCTCTTAGGAATGTAGCAGCTGATTGCCGGGGATGAGCCCAGAGGACACACACGAGTTCACGGGCTTCCCTTCCCTAAGACTGCACAATTCCCAGGTCTCTCTGTAGGGACCCTATGACTGGCACCTGTGAGTCCTTTAAGATGTCCTCATTGCAATGAACTTCAGCAGGATTTCGCAGTGTATTTACTACCTCTGTTTAGCATTTCAATTGCATCAAATAAACACGTATGGCGCCTTCTTGATGCTCTATGAAGAGTACAGCAATAACATATACAAGAGAAAGCATGTCTGAAATCAAGGAGACCCAAGTTTCAGTCTGAGAGACCTCTCTTCCCTTTGACTTCTGCCACTATGAATTGGGACAAGAAGGCTTCGCTGAGTTAATCAAATAAAATGTCTAGGTGAGAGTCTGCCATGTAATAAGGCCTCCAGGAAATGGGAACCTTTTATTAATTTTGTATTTTTATCATTTGTTACAGGTTCAATTTTGTCCTCATTAGAAATTCCTGTGTGGAAGTCCTAGTCCCCATTACCCCAGAATGTGACCATTATTTGGCAACAGGCTGTCACAGATATAATTGGTTGTGATGAGGTCATACTGGAATAGGGTGAGCCCCTAATTCTATATGACTATATCCTTAAAAAGCGGGTAACAGGAGGCGGAGGTTGCAGTGAGCCGAGATCGTGCCACTGCACTCTAGTCTGGGCTACAGAACGAGACTCCATCTCAAAAAAATATTTAAAAAGCAGGCAATTTGGACACAGACATGCCCACAGGGAGAAAGCCACATGAAGATAAGGCGGAGATTAAAGTGATATGTCTACAAGCCAAGGACCGCCACAAATTGTCAGCCAGCCACCAGAAGCTAGGGGAGAAGCATGGCACAGATTCTCCCTCTCAGCCCTCTGAAGGAACCCACTCACTGACACCCACTTCTGGCCTCCGGCATTGTGAGGCAATCAATGTCTGTTCAATCAACCTGGTTCATGGTACTTAGTTGCAGCAGCTCCAGCAAACTAATATGCTACTGTCACTATTTTTCCATTGGTTTAATTCATGTTTTCAAATTCTGGGTTGCCACCCTTTAGTGGGTTGTGAAATGAATTTATAGCAGTTGTGACCAGCATGTGCACATTTTTAAAGACGAAATTAAACCAAACAAAAAATATTAGAATAAATCTTAGAGTACATTACATTTAGTAAAACATAAATATTGTTTCATTATATTTTGTTAACAAAGGTATGTGGGTACCAGAAGATGATGGAAATCTTATACCTTAATTTGAGTCAGGGTTAAAAAAGAAAAGAACACTGGATTAAAGCTATATCTTGCTTTCTCCACCCATTATCATTTACTTTGAGAAGGGAAAAAGGAAGTATCCATGTAAGAAAAGAGGTGATGGGGAAGAGTGTGGGTTCTGAGCAGGGGTTGACTGACTGCCTTCTCCTCCCAGCCCACCTTGGGGGCAGGCCCAGATTGAACCCCAGCTCAAAGAAAAGTTGCTGAACCCTAAATCACATTACTCTCCATAAAAATAAAGTTATGGGTGCTGGTAACTTAGAAGAACTATGAGTCACATATGTTTCTGCAGAGAATGGTAGCACCAAGCCCACATACTGTTGAGGGGTAGTGCTGGAATGTGAAACTTCTTTTTTCCTTTCCTTTCTTTCCTTCCATCTATCTTTCCTTCCTTCCTTTTCTTTCCTTCTTTCTTCCTTCTTTCATTCCCTTCCTTTCCCTTCCTTTCTTCTTCCCTTTTTTTTTTTTTTTGTTGCCCAGGCTGGAGTGCAGTGGTATGACCACAGCTCCCTGCAGCCTCAACCTTCTGAGCTAATGTGATCCTCCCACCTCAGCCTCATGAGTAGCTGGGACCACAGGCGCACACCACCACACCCAGCTAGTTTTACTTTTTGTAGAGATGGGGTCTCGCTGTGTGGCTCAGGCTGGTCTCAAATTCTCAGACTCAAGCAATCCTCCAACCTTGGCTTCCCAAGGTACTGAGGTTGTAGGCGTAAGCCAGTGCACCTGGCCCATGCTACTTCTTTCTAAGGTAACTTAGTGGCTCAAGATGACACCCTGATGTCACACCTGCTAATTCTGGCAACCATGAGGCAGACCCGCAGTGGCTGCCTAGCATTCCTTAACTGCCTCAGATGAGACTGACTGTACCCCCAGTCCCAGAGATGGGTACCAGGGCTAAAACCTGGTAAATCAGAATTTCTGGCTCTTTTTTGCTGAAGCTTCTTAGAAAGAGGCTTTGGCTCTCAGTGTAATCAAGGTAATATAAAGATGAAATACTCTAAGCTGCACATAGGCAGGCCTCCTGAACATGAGGAGAAGTCACCCGTAAGAGAAGAGACCCAGGCCCAGGACCCAGCACCTAGACTAGAGAGGTCAGAGAGCCACCCCAGTGGCTGCAATGGCAGCACCTGAGCTGTTGGATCCAGCCATGCCTTCTACACCACTCCCAAAGCAACCACACATCACACTCTCGTGTGCAAGAATGTACACCCACACACACATACACACACCCACACACCCTTTTCCCTGGTCATTTCAGTTTCTTGCAGTTCCATTCATCCCCACTTTTGTTTCTTTTCTTTTCTAAAATTTTTGTCTGTTTTTAAAACAGGGACTCACTCTGTAACCCAGGCTGGAGTGTAGTGGTATAATTGTAGCTCACTGAGCTCCTGGGCTCAAATGATCTTAGGCAGCTGGGACTACAGGCACTGTGCCACCATGCCCAGCTAATTTTTAAAATTATTTTGTAGAGATGGGGTCTTGCTAGATTGGTCTCAAAATCTTGGCTGGTCTTGAAATCTTGGCCTCAAGTGATCCTCTTGCCTTGTGATATGGTTTGGCTGTGTCCCCACCCAAATCTCATCTTGAATTCCCATGTGTTGTGGGAGGGACCTGGTGGGAGGTAACTGAATCACAGGGGCAGGTTTTTCCCGTGCTGTTCTCATGATAGTGAATAAGTCTCATGAGATCTGATAGTTTCCTTGCACAAGCACTCCTCTCTTTGCCAGCCAGCATCCCCTTGAGTGACTTGCTCCTCCTTGCCTTTCGCCATGATTACGAGGCCTCCCTAGTCACGTGGAACTCTAAGTCCAATTAAACCTCTTTCATTTGCAAATTGCCCAGTCCCAGGTATGTCTTTAACAGCAGCATGAAAATGGACTAATATAGTAAATTGGTACCAACCAGTAGAGTGGGGCATTGCTAAAAAGATACCCAAAAATGTGGAAGCCACTTTTGAACTGGGTAATAGGCAGAGGTTGAAACAGCTTGGAGGGCTCAGAAGAAGACAGGAAAATGTGGGAAAGTTTGGAACTCCTAGATATGTGTTGAATTGCTTTGACCAAGAGCCTGATAATGATATGGACAATAAGGTACAGCTGAGGTGGTCACAGATGGAGATGAGGAACTTGTTGGGAACTGGGGCAAAGGTGACTCTTGTTATGCTTTAGCAAAGAGACTGGCAGCATTTTGCCCTTGCCCTAGAGACCTGTGGAACTCTCACCTTGAGAGAGATGATTTAGGGTATCTCGCAGAAGAAATTTCTAAGCAGCAAAGCATTTAAGAGGTGACTTGGGTGCTGGTAAAGGCATTCAGTTTTATAAAAGAAGCAGAGCATAAGAGTTTAGAAAATTTGCCTGACAATGTAATAGAAAAGAAAAACCCATTTTCTGAGGAGAAATTCAAGCTGGATGCAGAAATCTGCATAAGTAACAAGAAGCATGTTAACCCCCAAGACAATGGGGAAAATGTCTCCAGGGCATGTCAGAGGTCTTCAGGGAAGACCCTCCCATCATAGGCCTAGAGGCCTAGGAGGAAAAAGTGGTTTCATGGGCCAGGCCCAAAGGCCCCACACTGAATGCATCCCAGGGACTTGGTGCCCTGCGTCCCAGGTGCTTCAGCTGTGGCTGAAAGGGGCCAACACAGAGCTTCAGCCATGGCTTCAGAGGGTGCAAGCCCCAAGCCTTGGCACCTTCCACGTGGTGTTAAGCCTGTGAGTGCACAGAAGTCAAGAACTGGTGTTTGGGAACCTCTGTCTCGATTTCAGATGTATGGAAATACCTGGATGCCCAGGCAGAAGTTTGCTGCAGGGGCAAGGCTCTCATGGAGAACCTCTGCTAGGGCAGTGTAGAAAGGAAATGTGGGGTCAGAGCCCCCACACAGAGTCCCTACTGGGGTATGGCCTAGTGGAGCTGTGAAAGGAGGGCCACTGTCTTCCAGACTCCAGAAGGGTAGATCCACCTGGAAAAGCCACAGACACTCAATGCCAGCTCGTAAAAGCAGCCAGGAGGGAGGCACTACCCT